ATGAGGTCAGTAGTTGAGCTCAGGCTCTGACCAGTAGCTGCAGCAGCCAGCTCGTACGTATGAGCGGTGCTCGCAGCGGGAGCAGGAGGTGGAGAGACCTCGTAGTGTTAGGGACATGGTCCCGAAGGAAGCAGGTGCTTCGTGTTGTGCTGAACAAGGTTCAGGCACAAGCGTCTCGATAGACGCATAGTTGTTTTGAAACAACTTGCTCGATGAGCATGATCCAAATGTGGATGCGCTGTAACAGCGAAAGTGGTGTCCCGCACGGGGATCGAACCACTGGCCTTTGGCTTGACAGGCCGAAGCTCTACCATTGAGCTACAAGGGCGATGCCCGTACGTCAGTCCGAGAACGGACTACTCATGGTATGAGAGGGCTGCGCCCGGGTGGATTTGAACCACCGACCTGTGGCTTTCAAAGCCAGCGCTCGACCACTGAGCTGAAAGGGCGTTGCCCTTAAGCTTGTCCATTCAAGGACAACAGTTCATGGAACGAGAGGGCTGTGCCCTGGCGGGTTCGAACCACCGACCTGTGGCTCTCAAAGCCAACGCTCAACCATTGAGCTAAAAGGGTGTTGCCCTTAAGCTTGTCCAAGCGTGAACAATCGTTCATGGAACGAGAGGGCTGTGCCCTAGTGGGTTTGAACCACGGACCTATCGCTTGTGAAGCGAGTGTCCAACCGCTGAGCTGTTGTCGACGACTCGAATGAGTCAAGAGCATTGCTCTAAGCGGTTTGCAGCTCTTGGAGTAGGCGCGGAGCGCGAGCGTAGGTCTGAGACCGCTTGAGAGCAAGATGCGCGCTGCGCTTGGAGCATTGGGCCGTGGGCCGACGACAAGAAGTTGGGCATCAACGATGCGTAGGCGTTTGTGAGCTCACGGAGCTGTACAACGCTGGTGTGAGGTGTAGTAACCTCCGCCGTCTTAACAAGACGTGACCTCGCTGAGGAGAGTTTCGAGAACGGAATGTTCTCATCTTAGTGGGGGAGAGTGTAACGGGGTTACATGGTGTGGAGCACACAGGGGTACGAAGTACCCGGAGAGTTAACAAACTCTCAGTACATAAGTTGGAGAGTTAACAATGTCTCTCAGTACGTTGGCTGAAAGCCACACGTTATGCATTTGATTAGGTTTAACTATGCTAGATAGTTAAAGAGATACATTTACCCCTAGGCGGCTTGGCCGCAATAATAGTAAATAAAACACTTCTGGTTTTGAAGCATAAAAGTTAAGGTATTAACTTTGAGCCCTGGTCTTGGGCTGTAAGTGTCCTTTGGATAAGGAACTTAGTATTAGTGACTCAGAAAGTCGAACGTCTTCCTCTGACGCTAAAGCTACGGCAGCCCCGCTGCAATATGGATCCATATCGAGAACAGTGAGCTGTTCGAGGCTGTCAAAGTCTTCAAACTTGACAGCCAGATCCACTTGGACGTTGGGGACAGTGACGACCTTCCCGTCGGCCAGTCGCACTGACACCGTCCCGTTGCCCTTGCTTTCTCTCAAAGCTTCGGACAACTTGTTGCTGTTACGAGCAACCGTCTGGCGGCGTGCGAAATTCTTCGACGCCCCAGCGTCAATCAAGATTCTAAAGGGATGATCGTTTCCCCGTACACATCCGTGTACTACGAGCAACCCGCCGCTGCTCTTCGCCGATTCGAGAGTGCGAAGACTCTCAGGGGCTAAGTCCCCGTGGTACGCGCCACCCGCGCACCCATCACGAAGACTTAGTTCTTCCCCAGTATAGCGCCCCGCCCCTACTGGTTCCCTGCGTTCCCCTGTCCCCGGGATCCTGGCTTCTGCCAGCGACCCTTGAGGACGGGCTTGGGGAAGGACCGTCTGCGGAGTCTTTCCGCGGGACAGTCGCGCTTGAAGTGGCCCATCTTCCCACAGCCGAAGCAGCGGATGTCACGCTGCTCGGCGGACCCGAGTTCCATGGGAACTGGTCCGTTGGGGCTTGTTCGCCCGGGAGCCGACAAGGAGCTCCCAGGCCACGCTGAGGCCGGCGTCCGCGCCTGGCGATGGCTGTACTCTTCTTGAAGAGCCACTTGAATCGCCTCTTCAAGGGTGCTTGCCTGCACCCGGAACAGCTGAGTGCGTGCGGGGCCCACTCGAAGGCCGTCCATGAACACAGTCATCTTGATGTGTTCGTTGAATGGGTTTCCCACTAGGGACGCCGTGAGCTCCCGTATCTCTTGCACATACTCGTGCAGTTCGCGCCTTCCTTGTTTACACGCGGGGAAGCGCGAACGCTGGCGGTACTCGTAGTTCGCCGGGAGGAACGCGGCTCGGAGCTGTTTGCACAGCTGAGCCCAGATTTGAAACATCCAGGGGATGTTGCTTCCCGAGTGTACACCCAACTCTTAGCACGACCGCTAAGGTTGGAGAGTGCAAAAGCAACACGCAGTTGCTCGGTCGAGATTAGAGCCGCGCCCATCGCGAGCTCTACTTCTCGGACCCAGAAGTGAAGGTTCTCGCCTTCCTTCCCTTCATACGGCTTAACCTTCAGCCGTATTGGCTTCGGGTGAGGCGGATTTGCTTCCGCCGCCGGAGTCTGCAGGTTCTCCCGCACATGCGCAATGAGGCCCTGCTCGTACGCGTCAAATGCATTGACGCGCTCGAGCTGCTCAGCCGGTGCTGACACCACCAGGCTCTGCAGGGCCTCCATCCCGAAGATGCCTGCCATCTTGCGAACCGACTCGAACTGAGAGTCGTTCAAATGGGACAAGTCGTTCCTATCCATGGCAACGAACTTCGAAGAGGTTCAGGTAGTCTACCCGCGGTGGCGTGGATTGACTACTAGTGCTACCAAGTGTGACGGGGTCACACAGCACCTTGCGCTAGAGGAAGCTATCTTCCGAGAGTATACAAACTCTCAGTGAACGGCAGCTCACAGGTCCCCTCTTTAATTAAAGAGAGCGAAGTGACCTAAATAAGGTAGATTGTAAACTGAGTATATTTATAGGTAGGTTAAGTTTGGGTTTAATACAAACTATTAGTTACCTATAGAAATGCAATGTCATTTAACCAATGGTTGGCTTTGAGCGACCTTGGTACCTTGTACCAAATATCCCGGAGTATGACGTGTCATACTCCTGAAGTGTGAAGTGTCATACTTCATGTAACCAGGTACACTTAGGGCTACGTGCTCTTGGTAGCTTGAGCCTCTCGCTCTCTGGGAAGCGTGGCCGTTCCCCCCTCGGCGCCGCTGATGTCTGCATCCACATTGCTCGTGGTTTGCTCTCGAATGCCATCGACAGCAGCTTGGTCGCTGCAGCCAGCAGCCTCACCCAAAGCGATGCGTGTGGTCTGGGCTTGCTCCATTCAGTATCGAGCTCTCGAAGTGTGAAGTGTACACAACATTTTTAAAACCAAGACGATCGGCGACAACCGACCGGGTCGGCTCAGGGTTAGGCTGCAGAAGATGATCGAAACCGAGACGATCGAAACCGAGACGATCGAAACCGAGACGATCGTTCCCCGACCAGGCCCTAAGTGCGTAATTTCGTAATACCTCCGTTCTAACCATTTCAAATTATATTATAGCCTACCAAAAACCATACCCCCTCTATGCCGATCACTTTTTGGATTTCGAATCTCCCGCGCTTTCCCGACCAGACTGGCTCCCGCTCCCAGCTTTCATTTTGAAAGCTGGCACTAACAGACAGTAAGCGCCGGGCCCTCTGGGAGACCTTACTGTTCCGCAGCGTGAGAGGAGTGCTCAAACATGGAGAGATCTTTCGGGTTGCAGCGTACTTCCGTGTGGGCCGCCAAGTTGTCGAGCGAATTTGGAGGCGTGGAATCAATTCGATGGGAGATCGATTAGCAGCCGTGGTCAAGTCAAGGAAGAGCGCATGTGGTAGGAAGAAGGTGGATCGAGCCGAGCTGTGCGAGAGAATCGCTGCAGTTCTTGTCAATGAGCGCGAAAACCAGCGTCTGCTTCAGCGCGCGTCGAACATGAGCTGCTACCTGGTTCAGCAGCTGATCAAGGAAGGCTACATACGGCGTGCGCTCAGACAGACCCGTCCACTACTTACACCCACGCACAAGTTTGCGCGCCTCCGGCACAAGCACTCTCCCTAAGTCACTGCCTTGTGACGCTATCTCACTCGCCAATGCTAACGCGTACATGCTGCTCCTTGCAGCGGCCCCCCACCGCCTACCGCTAAAGTTCTAGAAGCCCCACTGAGCGCCCCTTCAGAATGTGGCGATGTAGTTGCCGTCTTAGATCCGTTTTTGTATCTGTAGTTGCACGGCGGAGCATGAACGCCTGTGCCTTGCTTAGTTTCTCACTGTCAGCTCTCGCCATAAAGCTAGCTAGCCAGCCTCTCACAAATTAACAAACGCTCAAATGAACGAGGCGGAGCGCTGCGCAAAAAACAAAACAAATGGTTATCTATTTCCGAGCGGAGGTAGTACAGTAGTATTTGGACACGGCCACTACGAATATGTTGTGCTATTTTCGGTTATGTCGTCATGTTTTCGGTTCTTTTTCACAAAGGTTCTCATCCTATCTGTATTACATGCAAAAATCTAAATTTTCAGCTAGAGACACCTACAAAGCGTGAATGGTCGAATTTAACGGCGAGAACTTGCTGTTGCTACCGCAGACGCTGAGAATGGTGTTGGAGAAGGCACCCACACCTCTCTGCTGCAGTTCTTCCTCGCCCTCTACCAGGATCATGGAAAGTCCGGCTTCCAGATGCCAATCGATGTGGCAGTGGAAGATCCACACACCTGGGTTGTCGGCCGTGAAACGTATCACGAGGTATCCGGCGTCCAAGCAGCCATTATTGCCGTCCGAGGTGCACGGCGGGACAGTGTACACGTCGCGTGTCATCGGGTTGAGCAGTTTGAGTGGCGGTAGTTGTTTGTTCTGAATCTGCTCAATCGACGCCACACCGCGACCCACGACCCAGGGCGAGTGTGTGTGCATGTGGAACGGATGCTGTTCGTCCTTAACGTTAACTAGCACCACCTCAATGTGCTTACCAGACTCGATCTTACGGGCGTTAGCAGTAGCCGGTAGTTGCTCAGTCTTCATGCCACTAGCGATCGAGAAAAGCGGGGGCTCCTCCGGATGAATGAAATGGTGGAACTCGCCACCGTCAATAGCAAAGTGGCCAAGACCGTCTTGCATCTTGAACTGTAGAACAACACGGTCCGAAGCGACTTCGGGGAGAGCGATCGGGATCAACGGCAGGAAGTCGAATTCGTCCACAGTCGTCATGTTCCCTTGCTTTAGTGACGTCGGGTCGGCGTTGTTTCCGGTTTCGTACGAGATAACCGCGAGGCCCTCGTAGGTATAGCCCTCCCCGGCGATCGCAGCGGTTCCTCGCGTCCACGGAAGCCCGTGAAGACCATTGGCACGCATCCAGAAAGAGCCAATCAGGTGCTGGTCCGAAGAGGCTTTCGCCTCAACCACAATGTCGTAACGCTGACCAGTGTTTAAACGGATCGAGTTGATGAGCTCCGAAGGCTGGAGGTGGTCACCGTCCGCAGCAACGACACGGAACTCGTGGTCGTCAATGCTGAACACGATCGGAGACAGAGCAGCCATGTTGATTAGACGTAGAAGGTACTTGTTTCCAGCCTGGAAATGGAACTTGGACAGGTGCTGGTCCTCGGTACATTGCGTAAAGTTGTGGTGGTATGCGGCACTGCAGTTGTAGCGACCGCGGTTGTTGATGAGGATGTTGTCCCACATACGCGTAGGCTGAGGGGGACGGTGGTACAGATCGGCCATTTGGACGACATATTCCCCGTCAATGTCCTTCGCCCAGTCTTGTTGTTGATTTGCAGGGGCGTGAACAATCAGTGGCCCACGAAGGCCAAACGCGTACTGTGCCATGTGATGGCTGTGCCACCAGAACGTGCCTGCCTTGTCAGGCATGAAGCGGTAGACCGCAGTAGCGTTCGGAGAGATGTGACACTGCGTTATTTCAGACGTACCGTCCATCTCTTGAGTGCCTAGCTGCTTGAGTCCGTGCCAGTGGAGGCACGTGGGCTCGTCGATCTCATTCGTGACGCGAACTTCGACCTCTTGGCCCAGTTCCACGTCAATGACCGCTTGGTCTGCTGGCTTGTCGTTGATTCCGAGAGAGTGGATAGAGACACCGTCGTAGTCGGTGGTGAGCGACGTAACGCGCCAGTTGTAAGTGACAAGGTCAGCTACACTGGATTCGATTTGTAGCGCTAACAAGGCCGATGCAACGGCGGTGACGCGAGCGAGACCCATGTCTTGGGCGATATGTCCTGACCCCTACTTCGGGGTAAATCTAGATCCGTCTTGGCGGTGAGAGACAAATTGCCGAATGGAGATCGAATGGTGAAGACTGGTTGCGTCGATTTCTGCTGCGAAAACATTGGCTCGGCTCATGCAGCCTAAAGATTTCAATGAGCTTTGAAGGTACAGTATCGGCAGCATCGGGGCCCGATTCGGGCACTGTCATGTTGGCACTGTCAGCTTGACAGGTCCCAAGTGTTCAGTGAACATGTACTTTGATAGAACGCATCAATGCCGAAAAGTGCAAACATTTTGCTGTTCGGAGCGGATCCTTAGGATAAAAGTGTGCTGTAACCACCGGGATTTGACTGGAATTTGAGATCATCTGGCGGTCCGAATGCACAAAAAAAACTGAGTACTACTGTAGTATTATGGTGTGTAGCCCGTGCGGGGTACCATCATCAAGGAGCAGTACATGTCCAAAACTCATTTCTTGTCATCATATATCGACGACCAGATTTAGCTGGAGAAAGGTTTTCAGTACTGTATCCGGTGCTTAGGAAGCGCTCGAGTCTTCATGATAGCTACCGTTATCGAACAGGCTCAAAGTAGATGCACTGTCGGTACTAAATCCTGTCGAATCGATTTTTTTCGACAGTTTTTAGTCCACGGACAGAACTTTTGGTATGGTCGTTTGTGATGTCGTGGCCGTAAACGTAGCGTCAAGGATGTACAGAAGTCCCTCAAAGTACATGTACGATCCGTATATCGTGTTCATCATCAAAAGCATCTCTTATTCAGCGATTTTGGCACCGTAAAGAGTGGTCTAGGAACTGATCATGATGTGCAAGACTCCGGCCAGTGCTAAACATTTTAGGAAGTGAGTATTTTGCCCGACTGGCTAACCGACTATACAATTATACCCCACAACATGCATAAAATGGCCTTAGCGACGATCTTGGCAACACTCGCTCGGAATTAATTTCTAATCCCAGACACAGAGCCTTGCCGAGTCGAGGCCGGGGTGGGGCCGCGCAGCGGCGCCCCCCGAGCGCAGCGCAGCAAGTGAAGAGAGGGGCGGGCCCACGGCTATAAGTCAGTGCAAACGCGCTAGTGTCCTACCTTTACTCCAATTTAACCGTACTATACTGTATACGTATAAAATGCGATGCTATGTTACCTCAGTCGGGCAAAATAACGAGTGCCAACATTTTAAAGTCCACCATTCCTAAATGACTTGAAGTGTAGCTCGATAGATTTGCGGTCATGTATCCACGGAGATACAGTTGAGCGAAAAGTTTTGAGGCGGACTTGGCGGCCATAACTCATCGATACTGTACCGGCACACCCATTACCGAAAAAAGGGTTAAAAAGCATTGGATATTGGGAGACTCTCTATTGCTATTTGGCATGTACGCTACTCAATGTGCTGCAGCTTTTCTTAAGAACCCCTAGCGATATCGTGCTACTGGTAAAGCATTTTATAGAACAACGTAAAGGATCTCAGGCCTCACAGTCAGGGGTTAACGGTAACTCCAAAATCGGTGAAGCTAATATAGTGATAATATCACCTGGTAGACCAGTTAATTTAAAAATATCACCTAATATTTTCTTTTTAGACATAATATTTTTATTAACACGTAAGAAATAGCTTAATATTAGCTCATACGAAATTATTTTTTTCAAAGATTGCGAAATCGGTTTTAATCCATCAATGCTGCACTTAAAGTTCGACTAGCTGAAGTATTACTAATCAACAGTAAGGGGGATAATTGTGAGAGTGACGGCAAGTGTGTTGGCACTGCTAAGCGCATTTATCTAGCGTCACAGACTGCAGGTTTATGAGACGCACGATCTCGACGAGGCTATCGGTTGATAACAAGAACAAATATCTTGATTTCGCTCTATCGACTTCAAACAACTGCAACCGTTTGCAGTTTTTCATCTCGATCGGCTTTATGTCACAGTGAAATATTAGAGCAAATACTCATCAGTTTTTAAGCCTGCCAATTCTACTGCTGCTTTAGTGCTTGACGAAAAGAGTTCTTTGGTGAGCCCTCGATTCACAGAGGGTAAGGTGGCAAGAAACGTACTTAAACGAAAAACAATATCAGAAAATATTTTAGACTGTAGATATCTAATATTTTTAAATCTCTAAGTTAATATTAAAATATTAAGCTAGCTTTTTATAACTGAGTTAATATTGATACTTAATATATAAAAGTACTACTACTATCAAAAAATAGCATTTGGAATTTGATTACCATTGGCCCCTTTCAGCAAAAATATAACCTGGAACCTGAAAAAAAAAGTTCCAAGCTTTGTTTTTCCCATGCGTTCAGCAAATCTTCCCCTGGAGGTGCTGCGTGCTCTCCACAATCATTCTGGCTATATATTCTAAGAGGTCGCGGCCCATGAACGTCGGACTGCTGCTAATGCTTCTCTTGGAGGGGATTCCTCCTCCAGCTGGCATGGGCGGACAAGCAAGACACCTCATCCAGCAAGCGTACCAAGCAGAACTCGATGTGATAGCCGAAGTAGCAGCTCCAAAGGATCGGGAGATTCTCGCGAAGCAGCGCAGCTCACACTGGGCTAAGATGTTGTTCTCTTCGCGCATCTACTTCGATGGATCGATGAGTAACCTATTTCGCATGGATAGCTCTACAATTGGCGCTTTGATACGGACTGTGACCCCCCATCTCACAACAGGAAGAATGGCACCAGATGCTGTGTTGCCTCCAGTGAGAGTAGCTGTCTTCTTGTATCTATGTGCTCAGGGCACATCGCTGGAAGCCACAGCAGATCGTTTTGCCATTGGGCCATCTACAGTCTCCGGTATCGTGCGCGAGGTGTCGTCCATTGTATGTCAAGAGCTCACGGATTTAGTAGCTTTCCCCCCTTTGGTACAATGTGCTTCCCATTTTACTGAGTTGTGTGGTGTGCCACAGATTGTGGGCTGTATTGATGGATCACATATACCTATTGCTCGACCTAGCGATGATGGAGACATGTATTACAATCGAAAATGCTGATATAGTGTAGTATTGCAAGCCGTTGTCGATTGGAGGGGGAGGTTTTGCGACCTGGATTGCAAGTGGCCAGGACGCGTAGGTGACAGTCGTGTGTTTCGCAACAGCACATTGGGTCGGGTGTTTCCCAGTGTGTCTGCGGCTGCGGCAAGTGTGGCGATACCGACTGGAGATGACACCCATGTAAATCTGCCACCGTTTTTGCTAGGAGATTCTGGCTATCAAAATACCAATTTCTTAGTGACAACATTTGAGCTGGCGGAGACAGAAGATGAACTTTGCAAAGACCTCAACGAGCATCTTACTCGCGCACGTTACCGTGTAGAATGTGCGTTTGGACAGCTCAAATGTAGGTGGCGCATTTTGCTTCGGGGGGTCGATTTGGACACGGAGATTGCTCCAGACATTGTGTACGCTTTGTGCATCATTCAAAACTTCCTAATGGACTACAGTGATACTGTCGCTATCGATGAAGAAGAAGTAAAGAGTGTATTGCAGGAGTACGAAAGAAAATTCCCACAGCCTCAAACGGAGCTCGAGCCAGCTATGACTAACAACCTACGAGAAAAACTAAAAGCAGTGGTGGGCATTTCGTCGCTCGTAACGTGGCAAAATGCGTTAGAGCTTGTCCAAGAAAGCTCGCAATAGCGTCATGTGCTCATCATGCTGCTGGCGGCGCTGGCTTAGCTCTTCTGCGTGCAATAGACGTGCTTGAGCGAAAGTCGCCTCCGAACGTTGGTCCAGCATTTCACGCAGCTTTTCGTACTTGTCCGGACGTTTGCGTTTTCTGCTTTTCCTGCCTGTATTGTGGGGATCCGTAGATCTGTCGGTTTCTTCATCGTTGAACACAGAGCCCTCTTCAGAAGACTGTGTATCCGCGGTTGAGAATCGTGGCTGGGAGGTGAATTTAGACCTCAGTGGAGTCGTATCAGGTTGATCCGACAAGAAGCTGTGCAGCTCCGAGTATACTTGCTGTGAGATATTGGGACTTTTAATGCGATGAAATTCCCTGTTTGTGAAGAATAGTATTCTGTAAGCTCAAGCACGGTCTGCATTCCATAGAACCACCATACCTTAGCTCTTTCTTATCTTGCTTGGAGAGATCGAACCACTCAGCCTTCCCAGTGCTGCCTTGCACTCTGTTTGCGTTTACATCACTGATGAAACGATACATCTCACGCAGTCCTTGGAGTTTATCTTCTATTGCCTTCTTTGAACGCTGAGTCGACGGGACGGCAGCTTGGTAAGCAACGAAAATGCGCTCGTTAAACATCGTCGTCTTCTCGTCCTTGGCTCGACCACTTCTGTACACAGCGCGCCACGCGCGCACCAGAGCAAGGATCGTGATGTCGGTCCAGTTGCGCTTGAAGTCAGAGATCGCAGGCTCTAGAGCTCGCACAGACGCAGGTTCCGCAGAGCCCAGGGGCTCTGCCTCGGGCTCTCCGCTATCCATGCGCGGGCGGAAGGGGGGGTGAAAATGAGTGCCACGGAGAATCTATCCAGTCTCACAAGTTCCACGTTTCAGGGACCTCTTCCGCCCCCTAAAATTCTGGCACTGAACCGAGGTTTACTTGGAACTTTTAGTGACTTTTTTTGCGCTCGGAGAAGAAAAAAAGTGGTATGCTGAAAGTGTTTCCCTCGAACCTAGAAAAAACTTCCAGGTTAGAGGTTCCAACGTTTTGCTGAAAGGGGCCATTAGCCCCTGCTCACAGTGTGGGGGTAGGAGACTATTAATATTCTACAGCTGTCAAAAACGCAATAATCTATTGCTGTCAAAAATGCCCCCGCTGGACTCCACCTCCAGCCTGGAGTGACATGCGACGTTTTGGTATCAATGGCAGACTGGTCAGAAGCCTACCGGAACCTGATGCTGGTCCTAAAAAAGCGACGCTGTTATCCTGAGCGAACTGTGTGTTAAAAAAGAATCATTATTCGGTAATGGTCGGTGAGCGGGGCGCAGTATTATTAATACAATAGATGGGC